CTCTCTCTCTATATATATATATATATATATATATATATATATATATATATATATATATGGAAAGTTTCATTTGAGAAGTGGTAAGTATTTGAGAAGTAAAGAAGTGATCTTAGCCCTTCATCTGCTCAACATTTGTGACTTTGATTGTGAAGCACCGTATAATTCCTCGCATGGGTATGCGGAAGATAGAGGGTAGTTTTGTAACTTTTACAAATAGGCGGAAAACGGGTTCACATATGAACCCACGGATTCACAGGGAATCAGTTAATTAGTTCATATGCATGGTTCATATGTGACTCAGTTAATTAGTTCACTTAATGGTTCGTATGTGAATCACAATGGTTCATATGTGAATTAGTTCATATGTGAATCAAACAGGTTCATATATGACTTAGTTAAAATAGTTCATATGTGAATCACAAAGGTTCACATATTGACCGGTCAAAGCCACAATTGCTATTTTCGTCCCTATCGTTTGCAATTCATACATTTTATCATCTCTGTGATTTACATTTAATCTTTTTCGTCTCTCATACTGAACTATAAACTACTGATGGAGTTAGCCTCATGGGCTAAAACAATTTGAATTTTGCAAACCATAGGGACGAAAACCGTAATTTTGAAACTACAGAGACGAAAGTCACAATTTTAAACCACATGAATGAAAATCATACTTTACAATTTTTTTTTTCAGTTTTCTAATCCGGTTTTCAAAATTTCAGTCACGAGTATATTAGTAAATACTTTTACTATATTATACAACATTTACAAATTAACTTATAACCAACTGATAAACATGTTCAAAGACAAGATAAACATTTTCCCTACTAATATTGCAAAATACACCGCAAAACAGATAACTAATAGAAAACTTTCTCGCACTCTTAAAACCATACAAATTCATAAAATGAAATAGAGAGATAAAATGGAGATATATTGCTCTACATTGTACGGATACAATTTTAATTCTAATTTAATATCTTTTGTACGACCTCACAAGAGGATAAAAGCATCTCCAATGCATATTATGTAATTTTTCTAGAATAGAGTATTAAAATCTCTAAAAATATTTACATATGATATTAATTATATTATTGAAATATTCAATACATTCAATAAAATATTGTTTAGAGTAAACTCTAATTTTGATCCCTGAGTTTAGTGAAATCTTTGAAAGTGAGACCTGAGTTTTCATAAGTTTAGAAATTGTCCTTATGGTTCTCATTTTGCTTTGAAAGTGATCCCTGATCATTAGCTCCGGTAAAGTGAGGGGCGGTTTTGTCTTTTACCTATTTTCTTGAATATCTTTAAAAAAATATAAATATAAATATATAATTTATAAATTATTTCTTATATTATATTTTTTAAATATCTATATTGTTTATACTATTATTATATATACATATATTATATTGTTTTAGTATATGAACTTAAGAAACAATACATAAATTATATATTATATTCTTTTATAGGATGTTTAAGAATATAGGTGAAAAATGAAGATTGTTAACTGATCAAGGATTATTTTCAGAGCAAAATAGAAAACTTTAATCATATTTTTTTTCCTATTTCAAGATAGTTATTGGAGTAAATCAACTCTCCACCCAAGAACAAGTGTTCTTTACAGCTGGTATGCAATTCATACATTGAAATTAGAATTTATGGTGGTTTGAAATGAAAATGATCTACTATGTTTTTTCTTGTTGCAATTTTTCATTCAATGTTTGGAAAAGTTTGTAAAGTAAATCTTTTTATATATTGTATACTATTTTATTAAATATTTGGTAATCACTACTAAAAACAATTTTATTAAAAATTGAAGTTTACAATTTATTAATCCTCCCAATTTTTATAGATAGGCTAATTTATACAGACAATTCGATCCATACAGGACTTAATAGAAAACTAACCAAACATCTTATACTCTTTGTTTGTGTTTTTTTGGAAATGTTAATAGTATAGGAATATAGGGGTTGGGTTCTAGTGAGAATGAGACTTAAGGTGAAAAGCGTAAGAAGAGATCTCCACCCTTGGATGCACATTAGGATGAGATGCACCAATCAATCCCCGTATCAAGCACGATTCATGGGTGAGTTTGAGATTAAAGGTGATCAAGGGTCCAAATCCATTCTTACGCTTCTCACCTTAACACGATCCTTCACCAAGAATATAGTAGTTGACTAGTTAAAAAAATGATCAACTCTTTTTCGTGTTGCAGGAAGTAGAGGCTATGATCCCTCCTTCTTATAGAGAACGGAGGAACAAAGAAGATCTAACACCGCACGAATTATTCACCAAAGATCACAAAGATCTAGTTTCAGAAGGTGAGAAGTGGATGAAAGGAACGGCTAGTCAATGTATGGTGGTCGCAACACTTATTGCCACTATAGTATTCTCCGCGGCTTTTACAGTTCCAGGTGGATACAACCAGGATGATGGTATCCCTTTCTTCTATCGAAAAATAACCTTTATGGTTTTCGTAGTCGCAGATGCCATTTCTTTATTTTCCTCTTCAGCTTCAGTTCTCATGTTCTTATCCATCCTTACGTCTCGCTATGCTGAGCGCGATTTCTTGGAATCCTTACCCAAAAAGTTAATGTTAGGTCTAACAACTCTTTTTCTCTCTATAACAGCCATGACGGTGGCTTTTAGCGTTAGCTTCTTCGTACTTTACCATAACGATTTGATATGGATACCAATTGTTATCGGCCTATTAGCCGCTATGCCGGTTTTACTATTTGCTTGGCTGCAATATCCTCTTTTAGCCGATGTAATTCACTCGACATATGGTTCTAGGTACCTCTTTAGGCCCAAGAAACTTATTCTTTACTATGAAAACCCCAAGTATTAACCATTGTAATGGGTTCAATTAGAAGATGTATTTTTCTAAAATGCACGAAAGTTGATGGATAATTGTGCAATTTTACATGGGCAAATATGTTCTGTTAGCATTGCAGTGAGTTTGAAATAGGAACAGAAGAGGGACCTTCACTTTGCCTGTTAAAAAGGGGTGTGCATTGGACGGATCAAACGGGTTTAGAGATTGGAATTCAGAATGGAAACCAATGTTGGAAATATAAATGTCAAAACATAGTATTTATTATAGGTTTATTAATTTTAATTATATTTTAAATAAATGAGGATAGTGGACACCTCATATGCAGCAAGTTTAGAGAAGTTACATCACGACGGTTATGGCATCCCATGCCAACCGACGTGATGGTCTAGGTGGCACCGTTTTGTTGTGTATATAAACACTTTGAATGGTTGATTGTAAACATATCTCTTCAATTCAATTACTACTCCTCTCCTGTTTTTAATCTCTATTTTCATATAAAGTGTGTGTGTTGTTTACGATCCTACGATGGGTTCATCAGCATTAAAAGATCTCGATCACAAGATCATGACTGGTGAATGCTCTAAATCGAAACAATCAAATGTTTCGATGCCAAACTCGTCACCCCGAACATGGTATCAGAGCTTTGGGTTCATTCAACCAAAGTTTTCTCATCATCTACCGAATACCAATAAAACCAAGAGAGTCACCAAAACCGCCAGAGATTAACGATCAACCACCATCACAGTTGTTCATTTGGGGTTAATCAGAATCTCAAGGATATCTAGGGCGGCCAAACACCATAAGGAGTTTTACCACCGACTGGCACCCATCGGAAAAGGTATTTACATACCTCAATCGGAACTGGAGAGGGCAATCGGAGAACCGAAGTCGGTCAAGAGGACCGATAAGAGCAGAAGACGAAAATCGCAAACCACAACCGGTCAGGAGGACCGTTGAGTGCAGGAGGCACCAAAATCGCAGATTGAAATCGGTTTAAGGAAACCGACGAACCAAGGTATGCACGGCAGAAAACGGCGCACCATAAACCGATCAGGAGACCGTCGATTCGAGGAACGAAAATCGCAGGAGGCGACGCCATTAAAGGAACCTAGAGAAGGTTTCATTGTTTTGAAGAAGAAAAAGGAGATGACATAAAGAAACCGTACGCCACTCACCACTCTCCCTTTTCTTTAAAAAAAAAAAACTTAGTTCCCCAATTTTAAGAAAGTCACGTTTCCTTTAAAATATTTTCTTTACAATTTTTCTTTAAAAAAATTCCTTATTATTTTTATTATCATTTAAAAAAGGGGAAAATTTAACAAAACTAAGTTTTTGTAAAGTTTTATATAAAATTTTATAAAGGAATATTTGCAAAGTTTTTAAATAAAATCGTTAAGGAATATTTTTTTATACGAAATTATGACGGGGAAAGGAAATAAGGAACAGGGAGATAGTTCCAAAATTTGCAAGGAAATGAGTCCTAGTACCCATTTTCAATGTCTAATGTTGAATTCAACTAATTACACAACTTGGACAATCCGAATGCAAATCATTTTGGAAGCAAATGGTCTTTGGGAAACAATTGAACCAAAATCATCAACAAAAGCCGATGAGAAAAGAGATAAAACAGCAATCGCCTATATTTATCAATCACTCCCAGAAGATCAACTGTTACTCATCTCAAAATACAAATCTGCAAAGGCAGTTTGGGATGCATTGAAAACAAGACACGTTGGTGTCAGCAATGTCCAAAAGGCAAGATTACAAACTCTCAAGATGAAATTTAAGATGTTACAGATGAAGAAAAATGAATCGATTGATTCATTCACTTCAAAGTTAACAGGTATTATGAATAAAGCAGCAAGCTTGGGACAGACATATGAAGATTCCACTCTCGTACGAAAGTTACTAAATGTTGTACCCGACCGGTTTCTCCATATTGTCGCGTCCATTGAACAATACTCGGACCTAGATACTATGTCTCTAGACGAAGCAATTGGGAGACTGAAGACTTTTGAAGAAAGATTGAAATTCAAGAAGGAAAGAATCGTGGACACTCAAGAAGGATTGATGTTCACACGACATAAACACCGAGGCCAACCTTTCAGAGGACGTGATCATGGTAAATTTAACCAATCACGAGGCCGAGGCCAAGACAGGAACAATTATCAGTATAAAAGGGAAGAACAAGAGTCTTATGAAGATGATACAAAAGACAAATCTCAAATCACGTGCTACCGATGTCACAAACTTGGTCACTATGCCTATGAGTGTCCAAACAAACATAAGAATCAAGACAGAGAACAACCCAATCTTATTGAAGAAGACTTGGAGCCAACATTGCTTATGGCGACTATTACTGAGAACGAAGAAAAATAATGCAAAGTAGAACTTTGATCGCGTGATACGATCAAGGCACCAATAACCGTATGATACAGTTAACAACTTGTGATATGTGTAAATAAATCCTGTGATTGGATCATAAATTTGTGTAAGACAACAACAAGTGGAATCGTGTGAGACAATAGCAAGTGGAATCGTGTGAGACAACAACAAGTGGAATCGTGTGAGACAAAGACTAAGTGAAGTCATGTGAGAATACTACACAAGAACAAAGACCAAGTGAAGTCATGTGAGACGACTACACAAGAACGAAGACCAAGTGGAGTTATGTGAGACGACTGCACAAGAATGAAGACATAGTGGAGTTGTGTGATACTACTACACAAAGTTTGAAGAAGACAATGATAAAGAATGTTGCGAGAACTCAAGAATATGATAAAGACGATGCTACTTATACGAAAATATGAAGACTCAACAACCAAGCTACATGGAAGAAGCAAACACATTGATACAAAGTATCACTTTATACGAGAATGTGTGGAGAAAGAAGATTTAGCTGTTGAACACATCAAGGGAGAACTACAACGAGCTGACATTCTAACAAAGCCACTACCAAGAATAAGGTTAATCACTATGAGGCAACTACTTGGAGTTAAAGATCTTGTTCAACACAATCGAGATTAAGGGGGTGAATGTTAGATTAATCTCGATTTAACTAGTATATATGTGTGTATATATATATATAGTGTAACAACCCATTCCACACAGTGCATGTAACATATACTTCATATATAAGAAATACGTGTTTGTACATCAGAAAGGTCCTTTAGTACAATAATCTACCAGTACAAAATACATGGTCTAAAAATTCAAAATACAATCTTGTACTAATCTAGTTTCATCTGCCAAAAGTATACAAATCATCAGCCAATCTTCATGCAGATAAACATATAGGGAAGGTATTATATTTCCTCTTTTCCCTTACCTTCTGCACTTCCTGCAATACATATTTAAAATCACAAAACGAGGGTTAGACCGAAAGGTCTAGTGAGTTACCTTATTTATGTTATTGCAGGGTGAAAATCACCAAAACTTTTAAGTAAAACAACTTTTCATATATATAACAAATATATGAACAAGTAAGAACACAATATCAATACCTTTCACCTTTCAAGCCAATAATCTTTACTTGTAAACAATACATCAAATCCAAATAGGTTTATACTAACCAAATAACATAATGCCACTTTTAAACCTTTTTCCATTCAAACAAGGTTTATTCAAAGTTTCAGGCCAAATCTGTTATATTCTCTTTAATAACATCCAAACTATAATTTCCAATAAGAACCCTGATACTAAACCTTTAAGTCACAAAGAAATAAATATTCCAGACCATAGTAATCCTAAAAGGATATGATAGTAAGAGTTATATTACATAATACACACACAAATGCCACCCTTATATCCAAATGTATACCTCTCCTTGATATGCCACCCTTATCCCATGATACACCTCTCCTTGATATGCCACCCTTATCCCATGGTACACCTNCTTGATATGCCACCCTTATCCCATGGTACACCTCTCCTTGATATGCCACCCTTATCCCATGGTACACCTCTCCTTGATATGCCACCCTTATTTTCCCATTAAAATATTCATAAAACAATTCTATTTAGAATAGATCGTAGTCAAATGGAATTTTATCAGTTCTAAAAATTATTTTATCAAAAATTCCCATTCTTTGCTAAAAAGAGTAACAAAATATTAGATCAAAACACAATCCGGTCAAATCTTGGCCGAACTACTAATCCGGTCAACTCTTCTTATATTGCCCTATTTGTCACTTAGAGAAATTTTAAAAATCTTGTTCGGATTACCAATCCGGACAACACTATTCATTAATTGGTCGATTTAACAATCCGGGTAAAGTTATTTTGTCCGATTTAACTAAACCGGTCACCCCTTAGTCGTATTCCTACTTCTCCGTTTGAATCACATAACATAAATTCAAAGTCCTTAAATCGCTCATTACCTAAACCGGTTAATATGATTGATCGATTTATCCTTAAACCGGTTAAGGCATGTCCGGTTTAGACATAATCCGATCAACCCTCGTTCGGTTTACAACTAAACCGGTGGATAATGCCAAGCGATTTAACTCTTAATCGTTTACCACATGATCGGTTTACTCATAATCCGGACAACACTCGTACGATTTAATCTTTAAACCGGGTAAAAAGTTTAGAACAACAATTTATGCAAATATAAAGAGATTCAAAAACAATTAAACCACTCACCTTATGAATTTCCTTAGAAATCAGATGAATTCTTCTTCAAAATAAGCAATCCAGACAATGCTTCTCTCAAATTACTTTCAATTTCAAAATGTGCAAGAAAAATTGTTGAAAGCCATCCTTCACAATATATATATCTTTCCAGAATTGGAAGATGGCAAAAAGATTGATTTTTAAATTATATTTTACCATGGATGCATGCATATCCTTATAACATACACATAGGTTCATATATATATATATATATATATATATATATATATATACACACACACACACAAATTCATGCATAAATATTATGCACCCATACACATACATATTTCATAATATGCATATCAATACCTATTCATGTTTTTAATTCATGTAAGCATATATTCACATAAACATCTAAATCATGTAGTAAATACCTTGGGTAATAACCGGAACCCGGTTATCACATTATCTACTTCTTCAAAAGAATTCCTTCCCAGAATTCCTTTTAGTCAAAGAGCCATGGGTATTCAGATCTCATTTTTGACTCTAACTCCCAAGTCGCTTCTGGTCCTTTGTGAAACTTGTTGGAACCCAGATACTCTTAATTAACATAAATATTGTTTGCGTAGAGTAGGAATTAAGAATAGCAAAGTATTTCTATTGATTAAACAAAATATTCAAAGATGAAAGTAAAACAATGAATAATACTTTGAATAACCGAATGCTTTTATTGATAATGATGAACAATTTAAGAACAAAAAGTAATCTCACAAGAATACGCGTATAGTATAAGTCGGCTTCTTCAGGTACTTTGAACCTGAGGAGGAAGCCTCC